AGAGCGCACAGGCGGCTTCCACAGTGCCTCACCTCCCCTGCCCTGAAGTGTGGCCGAGCTCCTTTCCGGTCCGCGACCCGGCCGGAATGACAGGAAGTACACACTAAGTGTGCACTTCCTGTCAGTCCCGCCGGGTCGCGGACCGGATATGAGCTCGGCCACGCTACAGGGGAGGTGAGGTGAGGAGAGGATTACAGGGGGGGGGGGATAAGATTACAGGGAGAGTAAGGGGAAGGCTAAGGATTACAGGGAAGCGGTAAGATTACAGGAGGGGGAATAAGATTACAGGGTGGGGAATAAGATACAGGAGAGTGTTAAATTCAGGGGAGGGATAAGTTACAGGGAATAAGCTTACAGGGGAGGGATAAGATTACAGGGGAAGGGAAGGATACAGGAGAGGGGGAGAGGGAAAGATTACAGGGAGAGGGGACAGATTACAGAGGGGAATAAGATCACAGGGGAGAGGGGGAGGATAAGATTACACTTGGAGAAATGATACAGGGAGAGGGAGGATAAGATTAGCAGGGGAAGAAGATTACAGGTATAGGGGGAGAGAGAAGTTATAGGGGAGGGAGGGGAGAGAAAAGATTATAGGGTGGGAGAGAAATTATAGGGAGGGGGGGAGAAAAGATTACAGGGGAGGGAGAAAGATTATAGGGTGGAGAAGATTGGAGGGAGGCAGGGGGAGGGAAGATTGGAGGAAGGGGAGAAGAAGATTGGAGGGAGGGGGGAGAAGATGGGGGAGAAGATTGGAGGGAGGGGAGAAGAAGAGATTACAGGGAGGGAAGGAAACATAGAAACATAGAATGTGAGGCAGATAAGAACCATTCGGCCCATCTAGCTGAGAGAAGAAGAGGAGAACACAGGGAGGGGGGGAATAAGAGGAAAACATGGGGGGAGAAGAAGAGGAGAACACGGGGGTGGGAGATGAGAACGTAGGGGAGGGAGAGACCACTAAAGGAGGGAGGGGCCGGTGGAGAGACCGCTAAGGGAGGGGGGTGGAGGATAGACCACTAGGGGAGGGTGGGGGGAGAGGAGAGACCACTAATGCAAAGTCGGGGAGAAAAGGAGACCACTAAGGGAGGTGGGGGGGGGAGAGGAGAGACCACTAAGGGGCAGGGGAGATCTCTAAGGAATGGAAGGGAGAGCTCTATAGGACAGGGGGCAGGACAGTGAGCTCTTTCACACCACGCGCACACACACACACACACACAATGCATCCCTATACACAAAGAAACACAACATGCTTCCCTTACACAGAGAGAAACACACAACGCAACCCTTACACATAAAGACAATGCATCCTTTGCACATATACACAGAAACACACAATGCATCCCTTACACACACATGCAAACACACACTGCTTCTCTTACACACACACAGAAACACAATGCATCTCTTACACACACTCAACGCACCCCTTACAGACACACACACTGCATCCCTTACATACACAGAAACACACTTTGCATCCCTTATGCATACAAACACAGATTCACACAATGCATCCCTTACACACAACAAGAAACACACAATACATCCCTTACACAAACACTCACTGCTTTCTATCCCTTACACAAAAACACACTGCTTCCACTACACACAAACACACTGCATCACCTACACAAACTGGTATAAGCACACATAAGGACACACATTAGATCCTCTACAGTAACAAATAACACATCCCCTACACACTCTACTCCCTGTGAGCGAACTCATGGGTGGAACATGTAGGTGGACGTATGGGTGGGCTTTATGGGCATACTTACCGTCAGGCCCTGGGGCCCAGACCTTGAGCTATGTAAGAGGCCCCAAAAAATGGAGCTGCTTCCCGTTCTCCCAGAACATTGAATTTTGTGACCACAGTTACAAACAGCCTCCAGAGATCCTGCTCTACACCAGACCAGTGGAGCCAGACTGCAGCCAGAGCCCAACACCATCCGATTGTAAGTAGGCAATCTAGTATATTATTAGTGACACTAATCTCTATTTTACCTCACAATAAATGGACACTATAGTCCCCAGAACCACTGCAGCTTAATAAAGTTGTTCTGGTGTATATAGTTTGTCCCTGCAGGCTTTTTAATGTAAGCATACACTGTGTGCAGCACTGGCACTAGTTCATATGGCAGATCATATGGGTGGGGCATTGCGATGTCCCGGGGGGGCGGCAAATCTTTATTTTGCCTAGGGCGGCAAAAATCCTTGCACCGGCCCTGATCACAGTAACCAATCATGACAGTGCAGAGATAAACACTCTCCTTGGAACAGTATAGGACCCTCCTTTCTATCCTGGAGATAATTAGGAAGTAACTCAATTATCTCCGAGGATAGAGGGAAAACTCAATTTTACAAGCTTGGACAAAATACATAAAAATCTATAATTTACAATTTCCAGGAATGTAACCCCCATATGCAACATATCCCCAGATAGCTTAGAGCTGAGCGCACATTATTACCAAATAGCGCTCAGATCACATACATACAGTTCAATCACCATGGAGCCAAAGTATTTCACATAGTCTTTCGTTATACGAATGGGCTCCATGGGATAGCTATCTGGGGTGACTCCATTCGACTCCAGTCGCCTGTTTCTCCCACAGAAGCTGCTTAGCCTGTTCCATCTTGTGGGGGCTTAACCGGTCCCATAGCTGTACAAGGCTAGTAAGGTCAGTCTGGGGGTCTCTCTCTAATAAGTCGGGGAGGGCTAAACATCCTCCTGCCTTTCATGATGCTCCTTCGGCATGTTCACATGAAAGGATCACTGGATACCTTCATCTGCACTGCTGGCAATAATATAGGTAGTATCACAGACCTGGACTACTACCTTATACGGTCTCTGACAAGATGCTTGCATTTTGTCAGTCTTCACAGGCTTGAGCACTAGGACCTTCTGCCCAACCTGGAAGATACGCTGTCCGGCACCCCGATCGTACCACCTCTTCTGTCTCCCCTGGGCCGCCTGGATATTCTCTCTTACCATCAGAAACAGTTGCTCCATGCGGTCCAGGAGTTCCAGGACATATGGTACTATAGCGGCTACCCATTCATCTGTGGGCACCTGGTATAGGGCACTTTGCTGTTCAAAATCGGCAAGGTACCCATCAATCTCCCCTTCTGCTTCGATAAAAATTTTAAAAGCAGCAAAATGTACCTTTCTCCTTTCTGTTGGTGCTGTTGTTACTTCAGCTGCTGCAGCACCTCTTTGCTGAAAGTGCAGCTAGTTTGCATCCACAGCCGCTATAACTCAGTCTATGATTTCCATTGTAGGGTTGGGACCATAATGTGCCAGTCTTATGTTGACAGCCCGATTAAAACTTGCCTCTTCGTCTGTCCTGTCTGTTATGCTGGATCTTTCAGTTATGCTGGGTCTTTCGGCTCTATCCATTTCTACCAGCTCTGTAATGATGTCCCTCTTCTTACAGTTGCTGGCCCGTCGGCCCCGGTTCTCCAGTAAGTCCTTGAGGGTAGAGCGCTTTAGCCGTTCATACTGTGCTTCCATTGGCTAGTGTCACCTTGTAGCTGTCCTTCTGTCCTTCTGGGCTGTGGAAATCATCCCGCCGCTTGCCACCAATTGTAACGGCACCCCGAGTATAGAAGGAGTTAAAGCCATTTAGGATATTCCCTTCCAGAATGTAAAGGCAGCTTCTGAACATTCCAATCAGCCGAACAAGAAAGCATACGAATAATCTATACTCCATTCACTTTTGAGAAAGCTGTAAGCGAAACATGTCAAGTGGAGATTAAGGATTGCCTACAAGGACTGGTTTTATTCATAGTTCACTTTTAAATAGTTTTATTCATTCGGTTTATTAATAAAGATTCTGTTTTAACACCCAGTCACTCTTGAGCTCCTTATACTCTCACCATCACTCTACTGTTCCGGATCTACATATATCCCTAGGTGGGGAATTGTTCCACCTAAAGCTCCATACACTAGAGCAGGTCATTGCTCTAGCAAATGTAAGTAGGTAAAATATTATTTACTTTTCCTACTTTTACATACATAGTGTACCATTGGTATACATCCTTATTTTTTTCATATGATGAACCGCACTACCTTGGGAATCTGATACCAGCAAAAATAAATCCTTAGATGGGGATTGTTCCATCTAAGGCTCCTAAAATAGAGCTTTTTAAGCTCAGGAAAACGTGAGTGCCCCTTTGGAATATATCTTTATCACCATATTATTCATAACATACTGCACTATCATTGTACTTTTTATTTCCTTTTTTTAAGAGTAAGACACATAATTGTGAAATCTGTTGCTACCTGTGTATGTATGATTTTATTATAATAATTATTAGCGCTGTCCACCTAATTTACTAGCTTGTATCCATAATAACAGTGAGGTGCATGCAACCAATACATCTAAATTAAGAAAACTATATATTTACCAGAAGAAGTTGTCTAAAAGGCCAAATTAAAATCCATAATAGAGCAATACAACTTTTGAAAAAAAAAAAATGTATTCACATAAACAAATAAATATATCAAGATGTAATCAAAAATAGAATGACCTTCAAGGCAGGAAAAGCCCTTACAAAGGCAAATCCAGAATTTGAATTCTCATTAGAGTTCTCTAATTATATCAACCTGGGTCTGAATTTTAGCCATTTGGCAGTGTTCAGTCCAGCTGACGTCCAGACCAAATTAAGTCACAGAGCCTCCAGTCAAAATCCAGACATTGTTAAATAGCGTAAACATTCTTTTTGAATGGAGCCGTACAACACTGTGTGGTTTTGCCCTATTTGGTATGGGGCCATTTGGACTTTAGTGAATAACCCTAAATGTCTGTCAACAGTTATCACCACCTGTTACAATAGTCTGATGGTTCTTATTGAATAGGGTACCATTTTCTCTGCCATTGTCTGCATTATTTGGCAGTAATATATATATATATATATATATATATATATATATATATATTACTGCCAAATAATGATTTGGACTGTGATTGTCTATTGTTGTGACTTAGATGATAATCAGATCACATTTTATGACCAATTTGTGCAGAAATCCATATCATTCCAAGGGGTTCACATAATTTTTCTTGCAACTGTGTATATATACAGTTGCAAGAAAAATTATGTGAACCCCTTGGAATGATATGGATTTCTGCACAAATTGGTCATAAAATGTGATCTGATTATCATCTAAGTCACAACAATAGACAATCACAGTCTGCTTAAACTAATAACACACAAAGAATGAAATGTTGCCATGTTTTTATTCAACACACCATGTAAACTTTCACAGTGCAGGTGGACAAAGTATGTAAACCCTTGGATTTAATAACTGGTTGAACCTCCTTTGGCAGCAATAACTTCAACCAAACGTTTCCTGTAGTTGCAGATCAGATGTGCACAACGGTCAGGAGTAATTCTTGACTGTTGTGCACATTTTACTTTACAGAACTGTTTCAGTTCAGCAATATTCTTGGGATGTCTGGTGTGAATCGCTTTCTTGAGGTCATGCCACAGCATCTCAATCGGGTTGAGGTCAGGACTCTGACTGGGCCACTTCAGAAGGCGTATTTTCTTCTGTTTAAGCCATTCTGTTGTTGATTTACTTCTATGCTGTGGGTCATTGTCCTGTTGCAACACCCATCTTCTGTTAAGCTTCAGCGGGTAGACAGATGGCCTTAAGTTCTTTTCCTTCGATGATAGCAATCCGTCCAGGCCCTGACGCAGCAAAGCAGCCCCAAACCATGATGCCCCGACCGCCATACTTCACAGTTGGGATGAGGTTTTGATGTTGGTGTGCTGTGCCTTTTTTTCGCCACACAGTGTTGTGTGTTTCTTCCAAACAACTCAACTTTGGTTTCATCTGTCCACAGAATATTTTGCCAGTACTGCTGTAGAACATCCAGGTGCTCTTGTGCAAACTGTTAACATGCAGCAATGTTTTGTTTGGACAGTAGTGGCTTCCTCTGTGGTATCCTCCCATGAAATCCATTCTTGTTTAGTGTTTTACGTATTGTAGATTCACTAACAAGGATGTTAGCATTTGCCAGTGACATTTGTAAGTCTTTAGATGACACTCTAGGACTCTTCTTCACCTCATTGAGCAGTCTGCGCTGAGCTCTTGCAGTCATCTTTACAGGACGGCCACTCCTAGGGAGAGTAGCAGCAGTGCTGAACTTTCTCCATTTATAGACAATTTGTCTCACCATGGACTGATGAACAGCAATGCTTTTGTAGATACTTTTATAACCCTTTCCAGCTTTATGCAAGTCAACAATTCTTAATTGTAGGTCTTCTGAGAGCTCTTTTGTGCGAGGCATCATTCACATCAGGCAATGCTTCTTGTGAAAAGCAAACCCAGAACTGGTGTGTGTTTTTTTTTATAGGGCAGGGCAGCTGTAACCAACACCTCCAATCTCATCTCATTGATTGGACTCCAGTTGGCTGACATCTCACTCCAATTAGCTCTTGGAGATTGTGGCGAAACCGACCTCGCCACTGGGCATTGGAGAAGACCAATTGCCAGCCTCCTGCCATGTGTCTATGGCCCCTGGGATGTATTGCCCTTTAAAGACTTGATTTGGGCATAATGGATTTGTGTTGTGCTGCTGCTGGCCCTTTAAGAACCATCTGGGGAGATACTGTGGAGTTACTGGGTGGCCACCATTTCCTGTATCAGAGGCACATGGTGAGAACAATGAATGGCGGCCATTTTAACTCACAGACACTGTTTGGACTTTTCAACACGGTGCCATCTCGCCAGTATTTGGTGCACAGAGACATCATGCAGTGGTTTTGGACTATACAGCAGGGGACACATTATACAGTGATTGTTTTTCATTTAGCCTGTATATGTTCTGCAGAATCTGCATTAAACTGTATCTTCCAATGTACTGAACAGATCTGGGTGAATTTTGGATATGTGGTTCACCTAGATCCCCCGATTCCAGAGATATATTTTTATGGGGTTATTGCATGTTTTGGGGTCCCTGTGATGTGTTTTATGAAACTGTATTTCTCTGTCTGTGATAATTAGATTACCCATTGTGTAAGGTAATTGTATCACAGGCAGAGGGGAGTATAACCCACCCACGAAAATTGGTTACTGTGTATTGTACGTGTTATTGGTTGTTCTATAAAACCCTGTGGGCAGTACTAAATTTGTGGATTGGGAATAAAATAGGCTGTATGTGCCAGTCCAGTCAGTTGTGCTTGACCTCAAAACGAAGTGTCGTCTCGTTATTGGGGGAATTGGATTGTATGCTGATTGCCAGGAGTGTAAGCTGATTGTATGCTTTTCCTATTCAGCTGCTTACAGCATTCATATGCTTGAGAGTATTCATATGCTTCTCCAGTTCGGTGGTTGTGGTGTCTGCTGCAGTGCTTGGAATCCTCAGGAAACGCTAGGAGCATCCTTCAATGGAGGTACCCAGTCGGGGTGCCAGGTGATCTGTTACAGAGATGTCATTAGTCTAGGGGTTCACATACCTTTTCCACCTGCATGGTGAATGTTTACATGGTGTGTTCAATAAAAACTTGGCAACATTTCATTCTTTGTGTGTTATTAGTTTAAGCAGACTGTGATTGTCTATTGTTGTGACTTAGATGATGATCAGATCACATTTTATGACCAATTTGTGCAGAAATCCATTTCATTCCAAGAGGGTTCACATACTTTTTCTTGCAACTGTGTATGTATTGTAACAGAGTGTTGGGGATGGTGGTCAGGGGTGTATATCTGGCACCCAGACTTTTGCACAGCCACTATCCTGACATGTGGGTAAGCACATGCAGCCCCAGGGAAAGTTAAGTTTAAATGTAGTTTTTTCCTCTGTTGTTATTTGGGTCCCTGGGGTGGAGTATTCGGAAGAGCAGGGTGGGCCGATTCTCCACCCACTGTCAGAGTGGTTGTGCATGAGTCCAGCCCAGGTTTCCTATAGAGTTCTGGCTCACTGCCTAACGAGGTCATTAGCCTCACCTGTAGGGGCTGTGAGCAGCTATATAACTGCAGTTAAAGCAAGGTGAAGGGAGGGAAGTGTTTTGGAGGAGAAAGAAGGTGTTTTTGTGGAGAAAGAAGATTTGCTGTTCATTGTATCCTGTTACTTCACAACAACAGAAAATAAACAGGCCAGAGGCCTTTTTGAAACTGGACTTTGTCTTGACCTGGTTTTCTTACCCTAGAAGGCTGTGCGGTTGCCAAAAGATCCTGGACAAACACACACAGGAACATAAGTTTGTCACAGTATGTATATATATATATATATATATATATATATATATATACACACACACACACACACACACACACACACACATACAATCTTATTCTCCCAACTGTTTTAAACTGTGTTAAACCAAAGTAAAGATATTGGCTTAATATACTAATAGTTCAGCATTTGTCTGTTTATGTATTTCATGTGTAAAATAGACTTTAAATGAGCTGAAAAAATATTGAAAAAAATAGTTAGTACTGCTTTTCCTAAATAAAACATAAATAAGTGATTAACCATGCTGTGTTCTCCAGATATTGTGAGAAACTAATTATGTTAACAATAACTAATCTGTTACATAACAGAACTCTTGCATCAGAATCAAAAAAAGGGGATATAATATTAATTAGTATGTTTGTTTGAGCTGATTACCAATTATGCACAAGGATCTTTGGGAGGAGCAACCTTTTGTACTCACCAAGAGTAAAACTAAAACATAAACATGTAACAAATATTTCCATCTTGCATAATAATTGGTTATTTTGGTGTAGTCAGAAAGTCTCTAAACCAACTAGGGAAAGTTCAAAAGTAAGAATGATCAAAATAACTTAATTTACATAATCTTTAAATAATTAATCCAAAGTTTTTTGGAACTGTACCAATTAAAGATATAATGCAAATCGTATTTCACATCTTGTCATATTTTTTTGTATTTTTTTTATCATTAAGAACCATGATTACATGCGCTGAAAACAAAATTACAATTTAGTACGTTTTGATTGTGCTATTAAAAACTATGTGCTATTGAAACTATGCTTTGAAAAATGTTTGTAATTAAAGTAAACTGTTGGAAACTTGGTTTTTAATATGTATTGTACATTCTGTACTACTACCGCATACTGCAATACTCTTGTTACAATGGCATTTTAAATATCAGTCTATCAGACCTGAATAAACAATGACATATGCAAATAGCAGTTGGTTCCAGTCTCAGGGATTCAGGAAACCTGTCAAGGCAACACTAAGAAACCAGGTGTAAGGGCTTACCTTGGTTGGAGTCCATAGTGTAGAGATGTTTGCTCACCCTTGCAGATAATCACAGCTCACAGTAACCAGGTAAAAAGCCACCTGGGCTGTGAATCTGTGCATGGGGGCTTGGCAGAAACAATAACCAGGTACATAGAAACAGACAGGGGCAAATCAAAAACAGTAGTCAGGCACGATTCCAAAGGTCAGGGCAGGCAGCGAACAGACAATAGCGAATAATCCAATAGCAGAGGTAACAAGCCAAGTCAGCCTGAAAATCAAGGAAAATTAGGCAACAGGTATATAAATAGGAAACAATGAACTGACACTGTCCTCAGGGAGAGGCAGTGTTATATACCTGGCTAATGAGCAGCTAATTTGCAAGTTGCCTCAGATGGACTTAAAGTGACAGGAGAAGTCCAACACCAGGGGACGTGGTGCTCAACACCAGGGGGCATGCGGTTACCCTGCACCAGACCCTGCTAATCCATTCCACACTGTGACTCCAAACTTTTACAACAGGCATACTGGGTCCTGGTCGTCCGGCCGCCGCCCAGACAGTGTCTGGGTCCCGGTCACCGGACTGCGAAACTGCGAATGGTTCGCTAAATCTGTTATGGTTCTTTTTATCACTTCAACTGTTACTTGGATAACTGTGGGAATTCTAAAGATAATACATGCCGATGAGTGCTAGGGGACGTCCGCTATGCTTTTGCACCCTGCTCCCTCTTATGCTGTGCTGGTGCCTCTGTGCGACCAGCGCCTCTTCCTCCAAACTGCATGACCTTGATTCCATGTGGGGTCTAGGACCTCATCATTCTCCACATCATCATCCACCCACTCCTCAACCCTGCTCTCCTTGCCGGTCTGCACACTGCAGAAAGCCACAGCAGTTGGCACCTGTGTTTTTCCAGCATGTAAAGTCTGCAAAGGACAT